TGCAAGATGCGCTGGGCAATCTGGTGGTTGCGCCAGAGGAGAAGGCAGACATCTTTAAGAAATCTTCACCTCCATTTTCTTGTGCAGGAACCGGGACTCCCCCACCATGTTTCAAGACAGACTCGAGGGGAACACCTCAAGACCTAAGGTTGAGGAGGACCGGGTTAGAGTGCTTCTGGAGGGGATGGACGTGTTCAAGTCAGCAAGTCCAGATGCTCTCCACCCCAGGGTGTTGAGGGAGCTAGCACGGGTTATTGCAGGGCCCTTGGCACGGCTTTATGAACACTCGTGGTGCTCGGGCCAGGTGCCAGATGATTGGAAGATAGCCAGTGTGGTCCCCATCTTTAAGAAAGGGAGGAGGGAGGACCCGGGCAACTATAGGCCCATCAGTCTTACCTCAGTTCTGGGGAAACTCTTTGAGAAAATCATCAAGAAGCACATCTGTGACGGGCCGGCATCGGGGATGATGCTCAAGGGCAACCAGCACAGTTTCATTAGGGGCAGGTCATGCCAGACCTGACTTCCCACCCCCTGTGCTATGATCGGGCTGGGGATGGGAACTCAGCCAAGCTGGGTTGGGGATTCAGACAGCTGGGCTGACTTCTCATCCCCAGCCCGATCTTAGCACTGGGGATGGGAGGAACTGAACGATCTGGCTCATTTCCCTTCCCCACCTCCCTGGTCCCAGGTGGCAGCACCCAGCTTCCCTCCTTCATCTGGCAGGCAGATTGGGGGCCTGCAGCCCCAAGAGGACTGGCACAGCCCCCACAGCCCTCCCAGGGTTGCAGGCCCCCATCTGCCTGCCAGATGAGACAGGCTGTTTCAAGCTTCCCCGTTATAGCTAATGGGCGAAACATGGAAACAGCATCAAAACAGCCCCACTGTTTCAATGAAGCAAAAAAGAACAGCTGTTTCAAATCAAAATGATGTTTGAAATAAAACACTGTTCTGTTGAAACCTTGAAACTCAAGTCGAAATGGAACGGTGCTGTTTTGACATTTAGGACATTTGACAGTGACAGACAAACTGCATATCTGTCCAAGCCCAAAAGAATGTCCCAAAAATTCTAATGCAGAAATAGAGAGGGCTTCAGCACATATCTGGGGAAACAAGCAGAAAAAGATATTTGATTTACCTGTTGTTGTCAGTGCTGGGGCACCGGAGCTGAAAGCTTCTGTTAAATCAAAAGGAGAACCAACAAGGGAATGAGGAACATTTTTATTATGGAAACAAAAGCTTCACTATAAAGCAGTAAATACTTTAAGGTGAAAGTAAAACAAGAAAACCGAACTGTGGTTTTGTTACCCAATGGAGAGAGAGGATCCAAGAAGTCATGTGGCCAAGACTAAAAGAACTGAACTTAAATCAGACATGTAGGACAGCATACACTGAGGAAGCTTTCTGAAACACCCGGTACTCCTTTCTGCATCAACCAGCTCTGTCAAGAATTTCATGGCTGATCTTCATTCTTTCTTTTTTAAGGCATATGTTAATTGCAATTTGAAAAATGCCAATCTATGTACAGAACCCAGGAAAATGGAGTTTATACCCACTGTAGTCTCAGAATAACTTACGATTCCAAAAAAGATTTTAGGCTGAAAACCTGGGAATCTCACACGTTTTCCTGTAAATGATTATGGCTTTGTTTTTTCAAATCATAAAAAAAATCTCAGAGCATTACCAGGAGAAGGCCTGTTGTACTGTGAGGTGACAGGCAAAGATAGCTCTTAAGACACAAGAATGTTTTATAACTTTTGTGGGAGATTAATTCACATCTCTTCACCCTGATTCTGTCTTATTGAATTCTGCAGGAATTATTACTTCTATGTTGTAAGGGAACCGTGCCCCTACAGAAACCTGCACATACAGTTAAGTTTCCATGGC